AAAAAAAAAAAAAAAAAAAAAAAAAAGAAAAGAAACAATAAATTGTATTACTTACTTGAGGTACAGTCGTAGAGCGCATTTATTTCAATGATGTCTTTTTGACTCAGTTTTTTGTCGTTCGTGCCAAACTCCATAGCCTCGTTGTAGGTGTTCACAATTGTTGGTAAGCCATTCTTAGTAAACGCCCTTCGATCATAATGCATGATTGATTCATAATCGTAATCCTTGCCCAAGTCATCAATTGTCAGCCAGCTGTACTTGTCAAATTGATCCGAAAATCCTGCAAAAAAAAAAAAAAGAATGAACTGAGCATCGATCAGTTAATGAGAAGGGGCAAACAAACTAAATCATTAAAATGCCATAACCTTCTACACTTGGGAACATTGAAATAACCGGCATTGAGTGGTATCCTTAAACGTCAGTAAAGTCTTGCTCATTTTTCCGTTTACTCTTTTGTTGGTTTAATTTGTAGAGGCATCAAACACTCGAGATAGTGTTTTTGAACACTGGCTTGTTATTTTTGTTTGTTTATAAACACTGCCTTAAAAAAGATCGATTATTTTTCAGTCCCCTTATTGATGTTTCGAAGAACGTTCTCACACTCGTTAATAATTCATCAAGTTTAATGAAAGGAAATATCAGATCTTTACTTTCTCCACTTACTCCTTAGTTTAGTTCTAAATGAGACACTCAAAATTTCCAAACACCTTGAACTTTAACAAAAACAGTCCTCTGTGTGTCTTATTTCCAACTCTATTCTTATTGATAACATTAAATTATTCTCTCGGCCTTGACATTTTACATGAAACACTGTTAACAACAGAAACTTTTACTTTGTTTGTTTGTTTTTTCTTTTCTTTTGTCTTGTTTTTGTATTTTTACATTTCAGACAGAGAAAGCCACATGTATAATTTCAATGGGTGAATCAGAATACCAATGACCATTTCAGCTCCTTTCATAAATATTTTCATAAATCAAAACTGAAGTTTGATATGGTAGATTTTTGTCTGACCTTCAAGAATATTCTCCCAGTTTATCGTCACAAACGAGTCTCTATCTCCGCGAGATTGTTCATGGAAAAACCCTTTCAAAATAAAACGCAAATATGTATAAAGAAACATTCATTAAAATAATTAACTGTAAGTTAAGGTTATAGTATTTTAATGCGCCTCCTGATTTCAAAAAGTCGTGATCATCATCATCATCATCATCAAGATCCTTGGCTGACTGTCATCTCACAGTTTAGGTACAATGATCAGGAGAAAAAGCGAACTGATCACAGTTTATTAATGCGGTTGTTTAGATGATTCCATGGTATTATCAGCCAACTTACCTATAGCGTGCATGAGCTCATGAATTATGGTACCCACAAAGTTACAGCCGTCTCCTATCGATACCTTCTGTGAACCTGGCTCGGCGTATTTTTTTCCAACTTTGCTAGAGCATCTAGTGGAAAAAAGCACATTTATCTCAAGTAAGCATGAGTGTAGTAATAGTTTGGTTAGTTTTTGACCAGTATAGCATATGACTCAACTCAACTCAACTGTTTTTACGATAACTGCAGAAATTATCGCGCGTTCATTGGCCAATTTTCATTGTCAATAAGCGGACAGACACATGAATTTATAATTTATGCAATGCGTGAACGAGCGAGAGCCGGCAATATTTTGACAATGTTATGACGAAATTCATGATCAATAAGTGAATAGACCACTATGTCACTTACTAATAAAATAGCTTCGAATGTCGTGCCAGTTACTGCAATTTTTTTCTGCTCTTGTGTAATACTATCCCAATTGAACAACACAATGCAAAAACAATGGTATTCTGATGTCTTTCAGCAAGAGTAAACGACTTACCCGTAGTCGTTGCCGAATAGAATGTAGTTTTCATACGAATAGTAGTCGTGTAGCACAAATCTCAAACAGGTGTTCTCATGAAAATTTTTAATCGCTTCATTGAGGTTTGACGTGATGTGACCTAAAACACAAAAGCTTTAGATTTTAAACGTTAGGCTTTTGAATTAAGTTCTAGGGATTAATTCAAGGCTACTAAAGCTCTCCCTACAGACAGTTATACATCGACGACACATCTGTCACGAATAAAACCACTGACCTCTAACATGAAGTTTTCTCTTGGGTCACGGTAGTGTTTTTGGGAAAACGAGCACAAAAAAGTATCAACTCCAAAACTCCAGACATGATAAATGCCCATTTCAGTAGATATTTCATTCTGCAGGGCTTTGCTTAATTGTACAATAAGTACAATGACTTCCTTGACCAACCTTAATAGGTGAAAGACCATGGAATGGGGGAATGGGTGAAACAATTTTCAGCATATGAATACTTGATAAGAAATAATAATTGTTACGCACTCATGTAGCTGGGAACAACATAAGGAATGATTCTTGATGTCCACAGCCTTTTCTTCTGCCTCGTAGCGTTTCTCTTTTTTCTTTTCTTCTTTTCACGAATTAGTTCCTCCAAATCAGAATCCAAGATAATATCTCCTTGGTAAAGTTTCATCCTTTTTCCTGAAAAGGGTCGTTGGAAAATGTTAGTCTTCCTTAAATCCTTTCATTTTCTTTTTTTGGGTGTTTCTTTTTCATTCCTTCTCTGATTTGTTAAGTTCCAAATAATGGAAGTCAGCAGCATTTCCTTCTCTCAAATTTTTCTTGATAGGATTAACTGACTGTTAAGGAAGGAACCAAATCTTGGAGTACACGCCTCTGTGAACAAGTGTCTCTCTGATTCAGTACAAGATGCAATCATTCGTTTCACTCAGTGAAAAAGACAGAAAACCGCGAAACAAGTAGGATTTTAACATGAAATTTGTGCTAAAGGCAACTTGTTGAATTCGTTATCGTATTGAACCCAAAACACAGTTGAAAGTCTGGTTTTCGGTTAAAATAAAGCTCGTTGGACAGTTAGCTATTTCGTTTCTACTGTATGTACCTTTTTACTAGTTGATCGCTTTCTGACTACAGCGATACTACACTATAAAATTTCAAACAATATAATCTTATATGTTATGCGGCGGGATACCTTGATTAGTTTTAACAATTTCTTCAAACATTGTGTCCCTCTTCTCTCTTGCCTCTTGTCGTTTCATGTGAGCCATATTAACAGCGCTGATTCGCCCAAATGCTGTTTCGTACTCTAAAATAAATAGCGTGTGCCATCAGCAAATTTCCCCCATTCTTTGATTGAAGAATGGTCTTAGTGTGGGTCAGATTGTGTGTGACTTATCAAAAAAGCAATTTTCCTTGAAACAAATAACGTTACATAGTGTAGACAGTTACAAATATGTGAAAGTTATTCAACGCTTTCTCTTGGTGTACCATGGAATATCCCACTTTTCGCTCTTACTATACCACGAAAAAGCGTTACATCACCATTTTATTCTTTGCCATAGAAATTAGAGTGCCACTTAATTACAATGCAACATTACCACAGCGCGCGATGAAAATGTTGGTTTTAATACCATCCAATACGGTCAATATCCTGCATTCTGATTTGGTGTGAGTCGATTGGCACAGTAATTGAACGTAAAATACCTCTGTTAGCGATGTCGTTGATGTTTTCTGCTTCCCGTGTGTCATCTTTGTCAAACTTGTCTTCCGTTTATTGAAGAGGATACACAAGGAAGAAGTATTTCAAAATAGAAAAGAAAGAAACAGAGAAAAAACATAGAATAAACATGGCTGTGAACGTATCACTTTTAAACATATCGTTCCTATACAAAACCAAACATACAACAGACGTCACTTTGTTTATGCCAAGTTGCTACAGTACTATACAAGGGCTTCGTTCACTTTGTTACAAAGTTGAACCTGGTTAATACCGACACCAAAGAAACACGCAAAAGTGTCTGTGTCACCTTGGTGTCCGAATTGAGGGGATCTCATGATAAACGTAAAACATGTCACTAGGTTCACAGGACAAGTGGCACTTATTTGTAAAAAATGAAGATAGCAGGCAGTAAACTTATGTCTGCATTAAGTGGGCTAATGTATGCATAAACTTGTGAGGGTAATTTCGCAGGAACATATAAAAAAGTCCGTAAGAAGTGGGTGTTCGAATTAAGCTGGTGTCCGTAAAGCGGCGTTCCAGTCTAAAACAAGAAGAACAGCCCTGTGAAAACACTTTGCTACCGATGATGTGCACATGATTGTAATACTCACTTAAAGCGTTCAAGTAAAAAAAAAGAAAAACATCAATGGAAAAGAACTGCAATTAATTTCCCTCCTTAACATCTTACGAAGTTCGTAAAGGGAATACGGGTGAACTGAATATGACGTTCTTCAAAACTAAATATTTTATTTTATTTTTTCTATTAATCATTGTGAGCAAAACCAAAAAACGTAACAGGTGTAGAATGAAGCTCAAGTGGTGCACTTTTTTGTGAAATTTGTTAATCTAGGGGAAAGGTTAAGGTTAGGTTAGCGGGGAGGCTGAAGGTGGAGAGCAAAATTCTCTATATTGAATTACTCCAGTCGACAAACCCTCATTTGCAGTGCTACCACTGTCTTTTACTCACACCAGTTTTGATACAAATTTCCAAAGAATAATCTCAAAGTAAAATACACATTAGGGTTTAAATTCGCAGCTGAAATGGTTAAGTTTCAAAGATAAAACATGTATCACATGCAACGTAGGGAACTGAACACTTCAACACTACGTGGAATGCTGGTTTATCTCTAGTAGCCGTGTAACTTATAATTAGCTATAACATTTTTGTAAGATTGTCCTAAAACATTCGTTCTTGAGGCACTTCGGCTCCATCGCCTGATTCCCATTTATTTGGGTTTTTTGAGGGAGATGACCTGCTATTTTCAATATTTTTTTCTGAAGACAGGATTAACAGCTATGTATTTATTATGTATTTATAGAATCTCATTTCCTTTCTCTCGTTTCGCTTTGATTTCATATTTATTTTGTGATTTTAGCAAAAATTAACAACTAACATCAATTAAAGCCGACATCTGTCATTGCAAACAATTCAACTTAATAGTAGATGAGACATATTTCCTCATATGTGATTATAATTAACATTCACGATTTATGACCTATACAGAACAAAAAACAAAAATTGGTTTAAATGCTTATCTTTTACTTTAATATTCTATGTTGCAGTTATCGACCTTGTAGGTGTCGTAAAATCGCTTGCTGTCACTAATCTGGAATGTTTTACTAAAACCTTCATGATCAGTTCACTGTTTAGATCAAATTTCTGGTTGTGTCTGTATTTTTTACAGGCTTATGTAGAGCAGAATTAAGATAGATAGGTGATAAACTCAAGCTGTCCTTCTTATGTCCTCGTTTGTTAGAATAACTATAAATAATGGTTGCGGTGAGGTTTGCTACTTTTTTAGAAGGGAATTTTATTTCGTCGGTGAACCCTATGAGCTAGACAGATGTAAAGTTTCTTATAAATATTTACTGGTATTCTTGTTTAAGACTCCGGTAGGAGAGATTCGCGAGAAGCCAAGAACAGTATCTAGTCCAGGAAAAAATTCAAAGGAGAAAAAAAGTGACTGTTGATTACCGCTTAACTGGGTTACCAACACCAAGAATATAGTCTTCTCGTTCCTCTAAAAAGTTTAGCGTACTGCTCGTCTCACTGGTGACTTGTGCAAATTGTTATCGTCGCCATCACTATCACTGTTTTCTACTCTCGTTTTTTGGAAATTTTCCATTCTTTATGAAACACAAATGTAGAAAAATTGGTTAGTTTGAAAGACTTTAAAATATATGTTACCCTTGTCTGGTTTTTCCCCCTCTAAGACGCGGGAACTGACTCCAGCTGTAAAGAGAAGAGAACATGACACCAGCAACACAAGCCTCCCCATGTCACTTGTTATCAAAAGCTTTACATGGAGCTACTGCTAACAAATATACCCTCTCAATACATATGTAATGCCGCAAACATTTCAAAAAAAAACAAAACATACAATGTAAAAAGCGATAACTACAGAATAAAGCAAATATGACATAAATACAAAAATAATACTATATTTTGAGGAATAACATTTCTATAATTGTTTCAATTTACAAACTGGAACTTTTCAAAATGTCCATATAAGGAAAATAGGTGCGGCTGTCAGAACTTTAAATTAATTTTTTCCCACGTTTCTTAGATGAAACGCCGTGACCTACCCCGCTTAAAGCATGAGAAATTTATTATTTCAAGTCTTGTGTGTATTTAATGACATTCGAAACATATGTTGCTTTCTCAAGTCTTGGTTTAAATATAAGCAAAATACGAATTTGTATTAATGTTATATGACACTTTGCAGTACTACTCACCGCTTTTCTTTCGAGCTGACATTTTTCTAGAACTATACTCTTAGAATTGTCCCCTTAATAAATTTTAATGCGTAACGTATCTAAAAAAAACCTCAAACCCAGCTTTTCAATTCCGTGGTTTACAATCCCTCAATAAGAATCATACCATTTTATTTACTTTTTAATGTTTTCTCTTTAATATTTCAAATTTGAGAACTATTTACATAGGCAGAGCAGAATACAAATAATTATCGGTACTTTTTGCCATTGATAGGCTTTAAAAATATGTGCATTCTTTCTTTTAAAGAATAATTAATTTTTCATTCACCCGGTGTTAAATACTAAGTGTGCTCTCGACGTAATTTAATAATAACGTTTCTCAATTCTAGACTGGCTGCTTACGGTCTCGTCGAACGGAAAGAAAAGCTTAACATATTTCACTTCATGCACGATTCTTGCCTTTTAAAGAGCACTTAGATAAGAAGCCAACAAATGTTAAAGGTTATTATCAAATTTGAACTATCCAGCTAAGTATACGATATTTGATATTTACATAGGATTTTTAATTAATTCATATGAGGGAAAAGGCGTCAATTTCATTTTCAATATTCCTTCATCTTTCCCCTTCTTTCCTTGATATCGGATGCTTGTGTCACATGTGAAATAGCCAGTGAACATATCCTGCACACTCTGCACATCACCGAGTGCCAAATACACCTCAATGTTTTCTTAAATACGTGTTTTATTTTATCTTGTTTATGTTATATCTATACTACCCAGTGGACACTAGTTTGTTCGCAAGGATAAACTGAAACACTAACTTGTTAATAACGCCTGGCTGCAATATAAACCGAGCCTGGTTTAAACTATAGCTGGGTCTTAAAGGTGGCCGGGGTTTTGAAAGAACTCCGCAAGTGTTTTAATGACAAATTATCGTAACTCACTTTTACAAAGCACCGGGTTAGAAAAGTACCAGCTAGAAAATACCCCTTTTGATTTCTGTTTCTGAATATATAAGGATCTACAAGTCAGCCACTTTTGATTTCTTTTCCTAATTATCAACACATATTACAACTAAGCTATTACTCCAGAATGGTTAAGGGGGAAAAAAAAGCCGGAAAACTACAAATATTTACTCAAATTGATTAATTAAAAAAAAGTAAATGATTGTTATATCAGTTGTCCATTGTTATATACCTGCGCCTGCGCCGAAAATTCGAGATATAGTCTTGTAAAAAAAGGCTATGCCAAGTCATTTCTGCATTTTTCTGGCTAGAGGTTGTCAGGTTGTCTCTTTTTCACCTTGACGGAAAACTGTCGATGTAGCAGGGTTTCTGGCACTCTTAGTGATTGTTTAAACTATTACTATTACTTTCTAATGTACACTTAATTTCTTCTAAATGCATACAATGTATTGCGTTCTCAAGTCAGTGATATTATAGGTGCCGCTACTCTAGCTGACACGATCAGTAATAGTGATTCGACCCTATTAACTATGACTCGACCGAAAGGTTTACAATTCAGGAAGTAATGGTGTGCGTAATCTGAAATTATGACGAGCGCGCACCGCGTGGTTGATTGCAAATTTTTTTCTTGAATTTTATGAAGCGAGGACCATTTACTAGCTACACACATAAATAATAATGTTGGAATTCTTTAGAGTGTTTTACAGTGTCTTGCAGTGTCAGTTAAAACGTCCCTCTTAGTTGTAAATTTAAGGGCCCATTAACCGATTCATGCGCGCGCTCGCACGCGTTGCTAAGGAGGTGAAATTTCACTTCCGGTTACTTACGTCAGCCTGAGCGCGGAAAATAATAACAACTCAAAAACTTGCAAATTCGCTTACATTTTAGAAGTTTTTCTCTGTGTTTCACAAAATACAAAGCCAAAAAAGTACAAGCAAAGACAAAATAAGAGAAAGACAGATAAACAAGAGCAATAGAAAGAGAAAAACTAACTCCGTGTGGCTTTGTTTGATCTACCGAANGACACGATCAGTAATAGCGATTCGACCCTATTAACTATGACTCGACCGAAAGGTTTACAATTCAGGAAGTAATGGTGTGCGTAATCTGAAATTAAGACGAGCGCGCACCGCGTGGCTGATTGCAAATTTTTTTTTCTTGAATTTTATGAAGCAAGGACCATTTACTAGCTACACACATCAAGAGTAATGTTGGAATTCGTTACAGTGTTTTACAGTGTCTTGCAGTGTCAGTTAAAACACCCCTCTTAGTTGTAAATTTAAAAGGTTTCTGTTGAATCAATGTAAATAATAATACTTAGCAAGAAAATGGCCAATTCCCGAGGGGGAATTTCCTTAAGGGAATTGCTCAGTTGTCTGCATTATCAAGTATGTGTGGTGCGCGTATCAAAATACCTGTCGAGGCATTTTCAAGATTTTTGAAAAAGTTCTCAAAATGAAAAGTTCCTGAAAATTATAGAAAAAGTAGTCTTAGGAAAAACTCTCGTTCTAGAAGAAAACGAAGAAATCTTTCATGACGTCAAAATATAACTTCAAGAGACATTTCGGAGAAAAATACAAAGTGTCTCTGTGATTTACACCACATCAAACATACAGAAAGTTTTCTATACTTGTACATTCCACTTGCCACACACTATAGTTCAAGATATTGGTGTTAGCTTTTCTTGCAGCAAATTTGGGCGATCAAACAATTGAATTTTTACCGATTTTGATTTTTTTAAATTCGTATTCCCACGGAAATATCTATCGTCCTAAAAATACATTGCAACAAGCTTCAATATATTTCCAACAACTGATNATGATGACGTCATCACTAGTGATTCTGATCATCAAAAAGTTAAAACACATGAAATAACTCTGAACTAACTAAAAATGATGAGGTTATATGAGAATAAATTTTCCTTAGCAACGGCTCGAAGAGATCGGTTAATGGGCCCTTAAAAGGTTTCTGTTGAATCAATGTCAATAACACTTAGCAAGAAAATGGCCAATTCCCGAGGGGGAATTTCCTTAAGAGAATTGCTCAGTTGTCTGCATTATCAAGTATGTGTGGTGCGCGTATCAAAATAACTGTCGAGGCATTTTCAAGATTTTTGAAAAAGTCCTCAAAATGAAAAATTCCTGAAAATTATAGAAGTAGTCTTAAGAAAAACTCTCGTTGTAGAAGAAAACGAAGAAATCTTTCATGACGTCAAAACATAACTTCAAGAGACATTTTGGAGAAAAATACTAAGTGTCTCTGTGATTTACACCACATCAAACATACAGAAAATTTTCTATACTTGTACATTCCACTTGCCATACACTATAGTTCAAGATATTGGTGTTAGCTTTTCTTGCAGCAAATTTGGGCGATCAAACAATTGATTTTTACCGATATTGATTTTTTTAAATTCGTATTCCCACGGAAATATCTATTGTCCTAAAAATACATCGCAACAAGCTTCAATATATTTCCAACAACTGATATAAGTTTCACTTCGATCCGATCAAGGGAACACTGGAAAAAGTGTGATTGAAAATCCTAGTTACGGTCCAGCCAAAAAAAAAAAAAACTGTATCTAAAACTATATGCATGCGCGGCACGAGAGTTTTACGGTATGAAGATAAATAAACGAATTTTATACAGAAATAAAAGGAATACATATTAGTCGAATAATGAGTAAATCTCTTATTCGACAGCCTAAAAGATATATAATACTAGCTCTTCGCATTTTTCTGGCCGGTGCGGAGGTAATTGCTCTCTAAATCATTGATCATTACGACAACAAACTAGGATTTGACACATTTATTTTCCTCGTACGAATTGAGGTTGATGACAAAATTTCATCTTTAGCAGTTCTGACAACTCTTTTTGCAGTTGTTTAACATCCAGCTAGGGTTCTTCTTGCACTCGCCGCGTGATGCCCAGTATTCACAGTTTTTGTCCGTGTCTTTGCACTCTATAAATAGATAGATTAAAAGTGTAAGAAAAGTGAACATACGACATTTTTGACTTAATATTTGCCGACTGTAAGCCAACCTTAATAAGAAAAAAAACCTGGTAACAAAGCCTTTAGTCCTTTACACAACTACCCATTCCACTATTGCGGGGTAAGTCTCGAAAGTTAAGTATATCTAGAAGTCTAGTTAGCTAATTAAACCAGTGCTCAAAATTCCTGTAGGAAAAGTTGACTCGGAAAATTGTAATTGTTAACGTGAAAACTCGTTTGTGCCATTTTCCGGGGAGGTTTCCCATTATATAAAATGAATGAACATTACTAAAAACTGGATCACTGGATAATGCAATTTGAGAGTTTAATTGGCTTAGCCATCATGGGTTATGAGCCATTATAACCCATCAAATGTTTTCGCTCGTGCGTGATTGGTCTAAACGCGTCACGTGACTAAATATAACCCAGGTAAAACTGGAGAATACCTGAGTGATATTCTCCAATTTTTAAAACCACACGCGTGTTGGGAAAAAAAGCACTCTCGGAAAACTGTTCGCTTCTCGGAAAAGATAATAGGGACCTTACGATAACACCGCGGTAAAACGCACTGCGCATGAGTACAAATTTGAGCTTCCGGTAAATTACGCATTTCCGGTTACGTATTAAAATCCAATGTAAACAAGAT